GTCTCCGAGCAACACAGTGTTTTGTTTCTCAGCATTACACGGACCAGTAAATGGTTCAAACAGGCAAACAGTCGTTTGCTAAGTTAAATGAATTGGCATTTTAAACAAATCGGTTGATTTATGGATTCAACTCACTCATTAAGACAGTCACTTGCTGCTACCTACTGGCGGTTGTAGTTTCATATTTTAAAAAGTGGCTAATTATTTCATTTTTGCAATCATTTAATATTTCTGCATTAAAATGTTGTATTTAAACTTAACACAACGTGTGCAAAATCCATCTATGGATTTTGTTCATAGTGATTTTATTTTATTGTTAATAGCCAACATGTTTTTTTTTATTCAGATTGAATTTATTAAATTTAAGAATCTGACATAAAAAGACACAGATATGACAATAAATTGTCAAAATACATCTTTTATTGTTAATAGCCAACATGTTTTTTTTTATTCAGATTGAATTTATTAAATTTAAGAATCTGACATAAAAAGACAGATATGACAATAAATTGTCAAAGTACATCTCTTTGTTTTTTTCTGCTCAGTGTTATTTCAGGGTTTTGATCTCTCAACTGAGAGATCACATCCTGTTTATTGTATTATAGTGACTATTTAATATTACATCTAAACTTTGACTAGGCTAGACATGTTGCCTATTAATTGTATACAGTATATGAACCTGAAAGCATATTTAATTTTTTTTTTGTATTTTGTGTTACTCCATAATAATGTTCTAGTTGAGGGCATTTGTAGTATAGGTATGGGGCCCAAACATAACCTCAAGCCCAGGGGCCCCCGGCCCCATAAATCCTGCCCTGTGTATGTATGTATGTGTGTATATATATATAGAAATAAGCGTTTCTATAAGAAATACAAGAAATACAGCGTTTTCACCACCTTCAAATTTGAGGATTCCTTTCCTTTTGTTTTGATTGCAGTCTAACAAGAAACAGCATTGTTTCTGCGAAGGTGGAGAAATAGTTGGTCAGTGAATCATATTGTGTTTTAGAAGCAAGTACAATCCTGTCTGATAAGTCATCCAGGTACCCAGGTGAAAACAGACAGCTGGTGATGGATGTTTTTAATTATGCAGCATCATTGTTTTCTGCTTGTGAGACTCATGATTGCTTTCACATGAGACGCTTCTCAGATGCTACTGTAGCTTTGTTTGTGTTCTTTTTTCTGTTCTTATTTTCTCAAATGCATATTAGGAATTCTAGGAAAATTAGCATTTTAATGCCAGGAAGTCTTAAATCAGTCATGCTTATCTGTTATTAAAATGTGATTTTAAGATTGATTTTAAGCTTATTTTTAATACCAAAATGAATACCTCATGGATAAGCTTAGAATGATTAAATTATGGAATGCTGCATCCAAAATCATCCATTAAAGATTTGTGGTTATATAGAAAAAAGATATGCTGCTAAATTATTTCCTCTGGCTTATAACACATTTAAAACAAACAATTTTTTTTCTTTTTGTTGTTTATATTGTTGTTATTGCTAGTTTATACTGTACTTGTTGCTAATATTGTTTTAGATCTTCTGAAGTATAATAAGCTAATAAATAAAGTTGACTGGGCTTGTTTGAAATTCCACTGCCAAATGTGACTGCATTCAACATTTGTCATAACTACAGTTAAAAGTTGATTAACCAGAACACACAGGGAGCCAACTTTTGTTTCACTGTGTAATCCTCCACTACAGATTAGTCTCGGTTAATAAAAATGTTCCCATTAAGATATGAAAATTCTCTGAACATTCAGAACATCCTGTTTTTTTTTTTTAATGTTTTTTTAAAAAAACATTCTTGGTGCAAATGTTAAGGTAACATGCCATTTAATCATTTTGCATTATAGGAATGTTACATTTAAACGTTCTGTGAACATTCTGAAGTAGTCACATTCAAAAAAAAATTTAGATGAACGTCGAACTAAAGCGTTTCAGAAAAAAAGTTCTCTGAACAATATATAAATGTTTTTGTGCTAATGTTTTGAGTACACTATTCATAACCAGATAACTAAACAAATATTATATTATGTTACTAGAACTGTTTGTTCATAATTTTAAGAAACTTGCCTTGAACGGTAGCCAAAGTTTTGAGAAGTCAATAAGCAAGGCCTAGACCTACGGAGTAAACATCACATGACTTAAAAAATATTCATATTCATTCAAGCAAGGCAGTCATTTTTATGTATGTGCTTTTCATTCGTCTGCGCTCATAACACTTTATAATAACTTTAATAACAGTAACAAACATATAGTGCTTGACAGATTATTAATTAAAATACATTCAAATGTTTGATGATTTCATATATTCGTATTTTTTGAATGTTCAGAATTACTGTTCTGTTAAACGGTCATTTATCAGGTTGTCAGTGAAAGCGTCTAATGCGTTTCACCATGTATCAAGTAGCTTATGTTTCTGATTCCATGTTTCTTCGTTCCATTTTTTATTGCCTGCTCATGCATATGTTGTTTTGTGATTTAATAATCTGAAACCTTAACTGCCCTTAAAGGTTTTTTTTTGTGGGAACGTTGTAATTTATACTAATTCAAGTAGGCTAGTTCACCGCAGCATACAATTAAAAATGGTCAAAATACATAAAACTTAAAAAAAAAAAAACATTTGTAGATAATATAGGCCTACTGGAATGTACTGGAATTTAATTTCATTCCAAAAGACAATGAATGTGTTGTGAATGAATGAATTCATAATTTCCTATGAATGTTTTTAGAATGAAGGTCCTAATAGTTTATATTCAGAATTGACTTTTTATACTGACTGACAATAAATCAGAGACGAAACCAGGACCCGCAGGCCAGAGACATTTTTTGTTTTATTTGAGCATTGACATGTACAAAAACTAGCCTATTTGAATTGGGTTTGAAAAAATATTTAAAATGTACAAAAAAACTTTTAATTATTTAATAATTTAAATTAGGCTTTTTAATCATTTAAAAGTAATTGAAAATTTGAAAACATTTGAATACAAGTGGGAACGTTGTAATTTATACTAATTCAAGTAGGCTAGTTCACCGCAGCATACAATTAAAAATGGTCAAAATACATAAAACTTAAAAAAAAAAAAAACATTTGTAGATAATATAGGCCTACTGGAATGTACTGGAATTTAATTTCATTCCAAAAGACAATGAATGTGTTGTGAATGAATGAATTCATAATTTCCTATGAATGTTTTTAGAATGAAGGTCCTAATAGTTTATATTCAGAATTGACTTTTTATACTGACTGACAATAAATCAGAGACGAAACCAGGACCCGCAGGCCAGAGACATTTTTTGTTTTATTTGAGCATTGACATGTACAAAAACTAGCCTATTTGAATTGGGTTTGAAAAAATATTTAAAATGTACAAAAAAACTTTTAATTATTTAATAATTTAAATTAGGCTTTTTAATCATTTAAAAGTAATTGAAAATTTGAAAACATTTGAATACAATATAGCATAATGCAACATTTACGTCTGGCCCATGGCCCTCCCTCAATCAAGTTTGGGCACCTCAGCAATGAATAGTCGGTATAGCTTACCACTGCAGGTATTAAACAAAAACGATACAATTATTCAGAATCCCAAACGTTTATCCCCTTCGAGCCTAATCTAAGAATCTGTCTACCTTTCCAGGCAAGAATCCGATTCAGATGATAAACAAAACACCGCACGGTCATCCTGCACTTGACACTATTTGCGATAAGATTCGATGAAATTCCAAGGTGCAGGAATCATCGTATTATTTGGATAACAACATTTTTGGAAACCCCTTACATGAACCTAACACTGAAACCAAATTTGATGGGTCGTTGACACAGACGCCTATAGATAATTACGATACAGTTAGTCACGCACTTGTCGTTCTCCAACGATATAATGCGATCAAACCAGACTGACTGTAGCTGTCACCAGCCGTCATGTGGAAACCGGGAAGGCCCCTCCTTTCGGTAACGTGTCCTCTCCTATCGATCCGAACTCACACGGAGCATGGCTTGAAGCGATATAGCCCCAGTCATGCAGAGGCAAAACGAAAGCGATGAGATCCAGCAGTGACGGAAGTTTCATTCCAATGGACTATGATCGTTTCAATGACATAAAGTCAATAAAGCTTCGAGACAAAAAAAACAACTGACCGCCAGGCATGATTCGCGTGGAAAATCAATAGTAAAACATGAATTTCCATTTGTCCATCTTGAAGCGAGTTTGCAGTGACGGCATCGGTCTGCATGTGACTATGGCTCAAAAATGACCAATGGTAAGTTTACGCAAAGCAAAAAATGAACAAGTATCTCAGTCAAGGAAACGAGTTGAATTAACGCATTACTCTTACCTTCCCGGGCACGGCGTTGTTTGAGCCCGACTACAGGAAAAGCTTGTATTTATAGCTATCATTACTTGGGGATTCCCGGTGATTATAAGCAACAATCAAAACGAAACTCGTAAGTGATTTACAAGAAAGCGTGTTTATTACGAAAGTGAATGTTCACGAGGGTTTGTTCATGTGGAAATTGTCATGCTGAAAGCTCAGTCATGGTGATCCGTTTGAATGGCAATGTAGCCTATTAAGTGTGTACGCAATACGCATGGTAGCCAAGTGTTATGTAAATCCTGCATACGAATGAAACCGTGCCATTGTAACCTTTTAGCGTTACACATGTGCATTTTTGTATTTGCAGCATCGTCTTGGTACTTCTGTTTTGATGCTTATTATACTACCTCTTGCGTTTTCCTGTGAAAGTGGCCACAATAAAAACCAGATCACCAAGGATTACCGCAATATCATTAGGATACAACTGAAGCACGTTGTAAGTATTAATACCACATGTATGCCACCAGGTGAAGGGATTCAAACAGTTTATCTTATGCTGGCCTATTCTCACTTGTGTGTAGGTTATACACATTGTAAAACATCTATTCAATTTACAATAAAATGGGTAATTATTATTTTACTTGGCCTATGTTACAGGCATGACGGGATATTTGTGCCGTAATTTACGTATCATTTACAGATACATTAGAATATAGCTGATACAGTGAACTATGTATCAGCGTTGTACCTTAAAATGTATTGATAATAACCTCCATAATAATATGGGTAATATAATAGGCCACATGATAAAGTTCAAAATTGGAATTTCCACGAACCATAGCTAATAAACACTGTAATATATTACCCACAAATAATATATCATGCTAACACAATGCTTTAAACATTTGAACAAAAAATAAAATGACAAAACAAGGTACATAACTGATTACTCAACATATATTTTAGAGAAATTACTTGAATTTTCATGTTAAATATAATTTAGGTTCCCTTTCAAGGTAACTTCGAACTGCGTCTTCTAGGGGTCACTATGGGTAACTCTTCGTCGTGACCCGTGTCTGAAGCATACATTAAAAAAAACACCAACAACATGTTGGCCAGCGACAGCCCATGACGTCACTACCGGTGCGACTAGTATAAATAGGCACCGGGAGAACATGTCATTCTCTTCTTCGTCTTCATTGACTGTTTTGTTTGAAGCGTGCATTCCATGGTAAGAGCGATCTTTCTGACGAGCACTAGCAAGACGTTTAGAAGATGTGTGCATCCGTGTCGTCGTTATTGGACACCTGATGACACACATAATCTTTGCGTCTTTTGTTTGGGCGAAGAGCACGCACACGATGTCCTCCAGGGGGCAATCTGCGTTAACTGTGCGTTTTTTGATGAAAAAGCTCAGCTCTCATTTGTCTCTTTTCGAGGAGAGGGGGGCAGCCGTCTACTCCCCGCGGTTCAGGACCCGCCGCTGCTGAGGCACGGAGGAGAATGAGCTTGTGGGGATCGCAGGCGGATCTGGCCGATGAGTTTAAAGAGGGGCTTTCCCTCTCGCGCTTGTCGGCTGTGGACGAGAGTGAGCCGCTGTAGGATGATGTTATTTCCCTAACATCGTCTGATCCAGGGGCCAGTGCTCTGCTGGGTTCGGGCATATCAGGCTGATCTACTGAAAGACCTGGATAAAGGCGAGGGCCTTTCTCCCGATGAGGTAGCTGAGTTGCGCCGCGCCACAGATCTCGCTCTCCATGCTACTAAGCAGGCCGCCTCTGCTATGGGCAGGTCCATGGCGGCTATGGTGGTAACGGAGAGACATCTGTGGGTGAACCTGGCAGATATCGGGAAGAAAGAGAGGGGCTTCCGAACTTTTCGGTACCTCCGTCGAGACGGTGGTTGACAAGTTCAGGGAGATGAAGGCGCGCTCAGCAGCCTTCAAATCCTTCATTCCACGAAGGTCCAGGTCTGAGCCTGAACAACCCAGGGGTCCTGGCCCGTCTCGGTCTGAGGATCAGAGATGGGCACAGAAGGCTGGTGTCGCAGCTCGCGCTCCTCCCCCATGGGGAGGGGTAGGAAGAATCGCGGGTCAAAGGGAGGTAGGCAAGACCTAAGGGATGTGATCCAGACGAGGCGTCAGCGTTTTTGTCTGGATCAGAGTGATACTTGAGTATCTACTCATTTCCCTCGGGGGGTTTAACATCTGCCCTTATCTTCCCCTTCCTAATTCCCCTGTAACCACCATCTCTCCACCTGACCGAGGTTTGGTAGGGACTTCCTGCATTACAGTCTCCTATGCTGAATGTATGATGTTTAGGTTGGTTCTATGGCTTCATAGTAACCACCTTACTGATGGTCCGGACTAGAGGCTTCTTCGGGTCGCTTCTTGAATGGGGCTCCTGTGCGGGAACCATGGAGGGCGTGTACGATCCATTTTTATAAAAATATATTTAATACGCTGGTGGTTGTGTATTCCATCTGCGAGCTTTCTTTGCAGTGTTTTCCGGGACCTGTGTGTTTCTGTCCTTTTCTAGGGTAGGTCCTCGGTGAGCACCCACTCTGCTGGATTCAGAAACCGGGTTCTCGACTTGCAGTGATTTCCTCACTCGTCGATGTTGTATCCAGTCGGCCCTGGTTCCGGCATCATGCTTCCTGGATCCTTCCTGGATCATGCGGCCAGATCACAGGCTTCTGCGGGAGCCTTCTTGATCATCAGGCCCCCGGCACGGCACTGCAAAATTTCCTGGATGTCCGGGCCGGGCTTATGCTTTCAGGCTGCCCTGTCTGGTACGCCATATCTAGGTCGCCCTAAGGGGCTTCCTGGTCACCAGGATATCCCCTCTTGCAGAGGCATCGAGAGGGAAGTATAGGTGGCATTTGCTAGAACCTTCTTGTGAAATGCTGTCTCAGGCAGTGCTCCCCTCGTCTCAGAGGGTTGTCTTTGAGCTTGCCACTCCCGTTTGGCTCAGTACTTCCGGGCATCTGTGAGCAGATGCTTGGGAAGCTCTTAAATCCATGCTATAGTAAGTGCACACGCTAAGCTTTGTGCACTTTCTGAAATCCACATGGTGGTAAGTGTGCACGCTGAGCACTCAGCTAGGTAACTTACTGCTAGCCATTCCAGCATTTTACCATAGATCGAGCTGATGGCTTTTCGAACATTTTGCTCTGGTGATGTACCATTTCCATCTATGGGCTGCTCTTTCAGAGTGCCACGAGAACCCCTTAGGACGGTATCTTTAGAATCCATGTTATGGTAAGTGTGCACGTCAAGAATTTGTACGCTTTCCACACTGTGGTAAGTTCGCACGCTAGTACTTTGCGGTCTTTCTAAAATCCTGTAAGGTGAGAGTTACGCGCGGCAGCTTTGTGCCCTTTCTTGAGTTGGTTAAAGCCCCAGTTCCACCTTGGGCACCACTCCACCTATGTATCCTCTGGATACCTACTTTAACAGGGTGTTGCTACTAGGGGTCTGTTGAGACAGTTCCTTCAGCAAGCTCATGCAGAGCAAGTGGTAACCCCTGTGTGACAGGCCACGACTTAGGCCCAATTCTATTTTATACCCCTTCCCCTCCGCCTACCCCTTCCCCTTGTCTGTTGAAACAGAGTGTCAAGGGGTAGGGGTGAAAATATTCCCCTAAGAATTGGGACACCACTACTATGCTGTCACACGGCATCATACGTCGTCTAGCTCCTACAATACACACACCTATGCTGGTGTGCATTAGACCAGTCTGTAATGATATGACGTTAGCAAACTTTAGCGATTTTTTTTTTTTGCAAACATTTCTTTGAGTAACATGACCGTAAATACGAAACTCATGATTGAAAGTAACATAAAACAAATGATTACTTTTCGTTAAAATGTTGCCGCTGAAGCTGGTTTACGCTGAGATAATTCATACCTCTTCATTTGAAGTGTGGTCCCGAAAAATCTTCATTTGAAGGGCTATCTGGCCCTTCCCCTTCCCCCTACCCCTCCAACCAAAAGAGAATCGAGACACCCCTACCCTTTCACGTGAACGTGCGAAACGGAGGGGTAGGGGAAAGGGGAAGGGCTAAGGGGTAGAATTGGGATTGGGCCTTAGTATGATGCTAGGCTCTTGGCCGTATCCCCTTAAAGGAATCTATTCCTGATTCCAAGCCTTGAGCTCTAACCCGGGCCCAGGAGTCTGGCCCTAACAGGTACGTTTTTTTGGGTATGTAGTCTAGGCCTTTGGCCGTAGGGGATAATGTCACGGACAGCCGTCTAATGTCCTAGGGGCAACTCCCATGGCTATGGTAGAGTTGGTACTTAGTGCTCGCCTAGGTTTCTGGCATGCACTCCCCTCAGCATGGTGGCGTGGGTATACTGTTCCCCATAGCGACCCCTAGAGGACGCGGTTCGAAGTTCCCTTGAAAGGGAACGTCTCAGGTTACTTATGTAACCATGGTTCCCTGAGTAGGGAACGAGACACTGCGTCCTCTAGGTTTCCTGCCATGCTTCGGACGCAAGCTTCAGACGAAGAAGTGAATGACGTGTTCTCCCGGTGCATATTTATACTATAGTCGCACCGGTAGTGACGTCATGGGCTGTCGCCGGCCAACATGTTGTTGGTGTTTTTTGAATGTATGCTTCAGACACGGGTCACAACGAGGCGTTCCCCATAGCGACCCCCAGAGGACGCAGTGTCTCGTTCCCTACTCAGGGAACCATGGTTACATAAGCTGAGATGTTTTCGATGTAAGCTACTTACTACTTACTTATTTTTACTGTTTTACTTAAAAAAAATTAACTGAAGTTTAACTAAATGTATATAGGTATTTATATATCAAGTAAATAGGGAAACGTTTGAAATAAAGATTACTGAAAATAATGCATCAATTATATATATAATACTTTATTTTTACTTTTCAGGAGGCTATTATTGAACCACTCCATTCAAACTGCACAGTAAGAAATGTCAGCATGTCGAAGGAGCCAAAAAATGTAAGAAAATGTCTATACTTTTTTGTCTACTAAACAAACCCCATCTGTTCAAGAGTGTGCGCATATGCTAGTCATATTTCTCTCTCAAACTGAAAGAGCAAAAGTTGTTTCTCATACTTGACAGCCTTTTATATGTGGCAGTAAAGGCATGTCCACTAAAATGTGACACTGTTTGGTTCTTTCACTTTAGTATTCTGCAGATTTGCTTTGTAAATGTTCTGACCTGCACTTCCCACTCATTCCAGACCATATGAAGTTCAGGGTCAGCTGGGTGCTGTTCACAGCACATAGACAGTTGTTAGTTTAACAACCCTGCTTGAAGATACAAGTTTCTCCTCCATTGTTGTCACTCATTCGCTGATTTGTTTCTGATCCGCTCACAGACACAGTCCATCCACAGAAAAATCTGCAGGGTTAACGGAAAACTGAGCAGAATCGAGAGGGAGTCAGATAATGTAAACGGACAACTGAAAGTTGTGTTATATAAACTTGTGGAAGAAATAAATGAGTCCTTGAGATGTTGGTGCCATGGAAAGGTAATCGAAACAACCTGTTTCCTCACATTCAGTTTTCTCTTACATCATTTTCATTTATTTAAACCTCCTTTTTGTTTCATTTGTGGATGAACAGAGAGAGGGGACAAATAAGCCAAAACAGCAAATACGAAAGTGGAAGCCTTGCAGGGTGAAAGACATTCTCGCCAACTTACAGAGACACTTTGAACAATACAATGCGTATCTGTCACTCAGCACAGACCTTCCAGAGCGTGGGAAGACTTCAGAGCAAACCGGTATATAATACTTGGCCTCCATCCATCTCATAGCTCTATTACAACAAATTAATGTACAGAATATGAAGAAGTAACTGGACGCACCATGTGTTATTCACACTATTCAGTATTTGACTGAAAAAAAACTTTGTGGCAAAATATGTGCTAACTATAAGCATACTACTTATGCATGAAAATGTTTCCAAACTTTGTACTTCGGATTGTTATCTTTGAATACGAAGGTGCAGCAAATGGAACTCAAACTAAAAAGTTGGTTTCAAAGCCTATATTATATACATTTTCTAGGCCTCAAGTTACGACTTTGTTTCACATGCTTCTTTTTTTGGGAAGTGACCTTATCCAAGTCTTACACGTTTTCTTAAAGCCTTACAGTAAAGCCAAAGATTACGCTCTCACTGTGTTTTTCAAACTTTTTTTGGTAAAAAATTTAACTGAATGTGTTCCAAACACATTAACTGAGTTCAGTTAATGCTTTTATTATGTTTTGTAAATTGTCAGTAGAGCTGTTTCTTAAAAATCCTCTTACGGAGTGATATTTTTAGTTTATAATTATTAAACCTTGACTTAAGGAGCTACTGAAATGGTTCTATTTAACATGGTTGATAACAATTTGTACTGTTCTACTGCATCTATCTTTGTGAGCAACACTTGCCAAGAAATTCCTTGCCTTTTTCTTTTACCATCTTTATTTATCTTTAGTCTTAAACAGCATTTTAATGCAACATCTACATGGACTTACATACATTTGCTGTAAACAAGCTGCCTGTCATTCTTATATATATATATATATATATATATATATATATATATAAAAATCAACAATTGTGGAAAAATTGATATCATTTTCGTTTTTCATGTCATTCCTAACAAAAGAAAACCACAAAGATGTGAATGAGTCAGTGTGGACTATTTAAAACAAAACTGCAACCCAGAAGTTAGGTTAATAACAACTGACTAAAATACCTTTTGTAACTAATGTTGTGAACTGGAAAAGACCTGAATTGGCGAATTGAATAGGAGACTTGTGGATTGGCAAATCACGCTTCTCCGTTTGGCACTCTGATGGCCAGTCTAGGTTTGGCGGATGCCAGGAGAATGTTACCGCTGGACTATATTGTGCCAGTTGTAAAGTTGAATTGAATAGGAGTAGTTGATGGACCTCTCAGTCCATTTCATTTGCATTCATCACAAAAATTCCTAAGAAGTCACCCACACTTCACAGCGCATCAGTGCCATACACCAATACTTGCAATGTCATACCTTGAAATACAGTTGTCTGCATTCTGGACCTTCTTCTTGTTCATCCCTATACCAGAAGGTGGATTTCTCAGTGAGCTTTGTGAAACCATGCCCTTGGGTTTCATGTTCCCTCTGCAAACACAAACATAATGATGATCTTACAGCCTGAAGAAAATGTAAAATATCAGGACTGGTCAGTGAGCTGGTATCTTACTCCGAGGGAGGGCTGGTCAAGCCAGAGGGGGTGTTTCGTAATGGAGAGTATCCTGATGATACGCTCCTCACTGAGCCAGTGGATGAGGTTTTGCTGCTAGGAATACCTGTGGCGAGAGAGGGGAAAGAGCTTTTTGAACCATTGACAGAGCCTTGATTTTTTTTTTTTTTTTTGATGTCCTTATTTTAATATGAATAAAAATGTACCATCTCTACACTTTATGTTTGGATGCTTGTCAACTCAATGGCATCAATGTGCATTTTAAATGTTTTGTAGAGAGTCCAAAAACTATTTAACTTTTTTACTGATGGTAAAAATATTAAAAGGAGACAATTGGAGGTTAGACAAAATTAAAACCAATATGTGGACAGGATCAGTAATGTTATGGTTACCTTGAAAAAACCCCAAACCAAACACACAAAAAAATACCCGTGAAAAAGAAATTTTGGCAATTGAAATAAAGCTAAAATAAAATTTAAAACCTAAATTTAAAAAAAAATTATAATAATTTTATGTTTTTCTTTTATAGCGCCACTAAGTGACCAAAACACCAATTTGTTTAAGGACTTCAGATTGAGGGCTTATCCATATGAACCAAAGCTTTCCCTATCCAATCTTTTTTTCCTCATTCTAAAAAAAAAATTCCGTAAACATGGTGTCATCTCAAGAAATATCTGCGTACACACGAAACCACTGAAACAGACTCAAAACGATGTACTATACATGCCAGACCAGTATGTGGCGATGCGATTCTGCCACAGAAATACGCTAAAAATGGAGAAGAAGACTTGGAGCATGCATAAACCTTGCACACTGTATACAAACCCAACACAACAAAAAGAAGACGAAGACGGTGAATGCAACAACTTCAAGAGCAAGAGTGGAGTCATAAATTTAACATAAATAGATATTTATAAAATGTTTATTAAATAAATGTATTTATTTATGGAGTCGAACACAAGCATTTAGTCCGCCACTATTGTTGTTGTTGCTTTTATGTGACGTAGCCGTGTCTGACTAGGGTCGAAACTAGGGATGCTCCGATCCGCCTTTTTCGCCTCCGATACCGATTCCGATACCTAGGGTTCAGTATTGGCCGATACATATACCGATCCGATACCAGTGAAGTTTTTTTCCCTCATTTAAATAAATGTAGAATTTATATATCTCTGTGTGTGGAACTGATAATCATTCTTTCACAATTTACTAGATACAGACTACTTCATTATAAAGAAAAATAAAATAAACAAATATGAAAAAATATAGGCCTATGTATATTTATAATCTATGACAAAAATGTATCATAAACTAGGTTAGTGGATAATTCGGCAGCAAAAGTTATTCTAGAAAAATCAGTGCACAATAATTTTAGAAATCCAAACATTTAGTGAAAAAAGTTATAGCCATTGAAGTAAAAGTGATTTACAAGTGACAAAGGCACAAAACAAAATGACTGAAACTTAAAATGCAAACTGAAAACATACAAAAATAACTATAATAGTTTATAAAAATATATAAAATAATACAAGCCGGATTTGAAGCACTAAAAACTGATCTTTTTTTGCTCACTAAAGTGGCCAAATACAGGAGCAATCCGGTAGGTTTTATAGCTCTGCTTGTGTCCAGCTTCACAAAAGTGATTCTTGATGAAATAACAAGAAGGAAATGCTTGATTAAAGAGGGAAATGATTGATTAAAACGAGTCCATACCTGTGCCAGCACCCTGCCCATAGGCTGAGCGCTGAGGTAGACGAGAAGACACGGTGGACATCGTGGATACAGCAGGAGAGTTTGCCTTCTTTGTTGGAGGAGGTTTGTGCTGCAGACATAGAAAAATGTAAAGTTTATATCAATCCACTCAAGGCACTCTAAACAAATGGTGCAAATGAGTGAAATAAAATTAAGGCAACATGAAGTATCAGTTTCTACACACTCTGCAGAGCAACATTTAGATCACCGCATACACTTTAGTGCCAATCAAGCAGTTGAGTTTATTGTCTAATTTCATACATGACCCCTTAATTGCCATTATACACAGTTCTTTTTCAGGAATAAACAGTTTAAAGAACAAGTGTGGTTATGGACAGCCCACATGCCACAAATCAGGGGCTGTATTCACAAAACTTTTCTTCTCACCAGTTCTCCAAAATAGCAGTAAAGGTTCTTAGGTAACAGTTTCCTCTTAAAACCTATTCACAAAGCTGCTGAGACCAATCTTAACATAAGAAAAAAGGCAGACCTCGTTGCTATGGATTATGTCTTACAAATGTTTTTGCTTTACTTTTACCCGTAGGGGATGGGTCTCTGTCAGTGAGTTAATCACAGCGATATTGTAGAACGAGGTTTCATGTTGCCATATTCAAATCAAGATTTTAAAATAAAAATGTTGCCATATTCAAATAAAGTTTTTAATATGTAGACAAAGTGTCACTGATTAACAAGTATATGTTCAGCTAATTGTCAGCCTCAACGTGTCTGCATCTTGCAAACTATTAGTGGATATGCATACAAGCAGCCTTTTAATTAACAGCTTAGAATAATCATGGCTGATAGCAAGACGTTTTGAAAACTTGAAAGAAAGCCAAACTGGACTCAAGAACAGTTGTTACTTCTTGAAAAGTGTAGTAACATTTGTTACTACATGAAAAGAAGGACATAATTGAATTAAATGGAAAATGTTTACATTCTGAGTTGGATTGCCCACAACAGCCATTTTAGGATGGTTTGTGATTTGGTCTTAGTGACTTAGGAGTGCTCTTGAGTCCTCTAAAATGAAGACTGACATGTCCATTATTTTGTATATGTTTCTCCTAAATCAGCAAGTTAGGAGCTACTTTTACCCTTAATAGCTTGTTTTGACTGAGTGGTATGGTTCAGTACAGTGCAGTTTGGTATGCAATTAAGTCCGTTTCCATTGTCAGAAGTTGTGAATGGTACCAAAATTAACCCGTACCACTTTTTTGGTACCCTTCCTTCATGGTAGTTCAGTACCTAAATAGTGGAGCTAGACTCACTGCAAAATGTTGACTGGTTGACAGAGAATCATCACTTGCACATGCTACAAGGAGAATGATAACACAAGGGGAATGAAGTATCTCCTTCACTTTTTTTGTACGGTGACCGAGACGTGCAAAACAAAATAACAATTCAGAAAACATTATAACAAGTCAGAAAACACAATGACAAATTCGAAAACAAAATAAGTCAGAAAACACAATGACAAATCTGAAAACAAATTAACAAGTCAGAAAACACAACGACAAATCAGACAAACCGGAAGAGGTAGGTATAGTTTGAGACAGCGTCATTGGTTTGGGATTACTCACCGCTGACTGGACGAGACATCTGTCAATCAATGTATACAGGAAGAACCAGCCGAAGAACAGCAGAGTCGTGGTAGAAAGTTCGGACATGGTATTAAAGTAGCTCAGTTTAAATGTATTGTATGAATTGCCCTTACTATGGAATAAAAATACGGGGTGTCTATTTACATTTAGTTAAATGTGACTGTAAATCATCAGCTCCAGTTGGCTTTTTGACGCGATCGACCCGGGTTCGATCCCGACTTTTGCCGAACTTTTTTTCCTCCCTTTTCAAATCTTGTATTAGCAATGGATTCTATTTACACTAAGTGAAAATAGCAGTATTTTTAGCAATATGCTATTTACACTAAGTGCAAATACCTAGTTACACTATGTTAAAATAGCAGGATTTCTACTATCAAGTATACTACTTGTTGCAAATAGTGGCAATTATCTGCACTTCAGTATTGTAGTACATTATAAAACAGTATGCAATAATAACGTATTGAGTGTAAATTATAATTTTAATTTTTAAATGGATGCCACCTTATTGGTACAATAAAGCCCTCCCTACACCTACCCTAACCCTACCCGATACTTTATTTTCAACTTTCATAGTAAGGGCAATTCATACAATACATTTAAACTGAGCTACTTTAATACCATCTCTGAACTTTCTACCACGACTCTGCCGTTCTTCGGCTGGTTCTTCCTGTATACGTTAGGGGTTGCACAGACTAATCGACTTCAATGCTCTGCCATGACGCTTTAAGCTTGACGTCGACTAGTCGATGGTCCTATAGAGGGCACAACAGGATATGAAATCTTTGAAGGAATTCCACATTTACGCTCCGTTTCCAACAGTTCAAATGACAAATAAATGCATATTCTGAAAGCGCTCCACAAGACGTGTGATTATATTACTGGATGCTCGAAATTGAATGGGAGAATGCACGTTTTAAACAGCTTATTGTACAGGTAAGTTAATCGCCGTTCTAATCTAATGCGCTGCTGCACTGTAACACACACACATAGGCTACAGACAGTAGCGCTTACATCACGTGCATAGAATCATTCAGCGCGGAAATGTATTGTCAACACTGTTCTGTGATTTCTCAATAAAATAGCTGAGAAACTGAAAAGTTCAAGCATATATTTCTTAATAACTAGTAAATTCCACAGCTTCACTACTAGTAGAGAGACAATCCGTGTAT